CAACGTCCTAAGAGTGAGTCTGCTGGCAAGGAGGACCTCTTGCAACATTTGAGCTGTGTAATGTCCTCCTGAGACTGGCCATGACTGGCCCAAGGTCAAACGACTTGACATTGGCATCATGTTGGTGGTCGCATCCACATCCATTGCAAACAATGATGGAGTCAAGCTGCTCCTTTTCGCGTTCATCTCAGGCATACAGCTTGCTTTGACTTCCTGGGTGAAGCCATATGCGAATTCCCAGGCTGTGAGGGGTTGTTCTGAACGTTGATCTTTAATGAGCGCTATGCCGCTTGCCGCTGCAGACATTTTGAGAGTCCTCAAAGCAACAAGAACACATGCCCTCGTCCAAAACCACTGTCACATGCAATCTCCAGGCAGAAATCCTCGACTTCTTAGAGTTTGTACTCCTCGGCGTAAGATTCACTCTTTTCACCACGGTGGCCGTCCTGCTGATCTTCTTCCCCTCTGCAGGAACGGTTTGGACTTGGGCAGCTTCTTGACAGAAAGTCGTCCACTGAGCCTACTGCAGCCTCCTAGCTTCTATATATCTATATATCTATATATATATATATTATAACACGAATATACCTTTTAATCTACCTCCAATATGGCCCCAATATACCCTCAATATAACCCGAATATATCCCCAACATACCCCCTATATAGCCCAAAATCCCCCCAATATAACACCAATATACCCAATATAATATACACCTAGTATACACCCGAAAACTTAGTGGTCGTTATGACACTTCAAGGTCAGGCTGGTGGTGGCTTGCGGCCAGAATCTGTGAAACATTCAAGACATCCTTCATAAGGCGCATACTGCATATGAGCTATAGTCCAAACTCCTTAAAGGGGGGTTATATAGGGATCATATAGGAGATCATGATAGGAGTTATTAAAGCTTCTCGGCTCTTGATTTAGCTTGGAACGGGCGCGGGCCTCAACTGGTTGTCTCAAGTGGCCCTGGGCTCCCTGCCTTGAACAGCTCCGTCGCCATGTGCAAGACCTGCTATGCTACTCCCTACGGAGCTGTTTCTCGGCCCCCTCTGACAAGAAGCACTTGGACCATAGTTGTGTGACAGGTTTTTTGCTGCATGATTTCTCCTGCTTCATAGCTCTCATGCGGCTTCTGGTTTATCGGGGCTATCCAATGAAGCTTGGAAAACCTCCACAAGCTATGCAGTTTTTGGCTCTGGGTCATTTTGAGTGTATTTCCAATGGAAGCTCTGGAGCGCTTAGCGACAATGAGTGGATCTACGCGATGCGGAGACAACCTGTAGAGCGCCAGCGTGACATGCCTCTTGGGCCAGACTTTGGATGCTTGATGCCATGTTTGTATGGGGATGCTTTGCGGTGGGGTTTGTTAGGGTGCCGTGTGTCGGCCCCACTTGGTCTTCCAGGTAACTTTAGCGCCACGCTTTTCTTCACTGAGTATGTGGCGACGTATACTATGGGCTGTTCGCTCCTGCCCCCTGTATGGCATTGTGCATGCCATTGGCCAGGCGGGTCTGCATTGAGTAAGGTCAGAGAGCTGAGCACACGCGATGTGGCGATACGTTGTAGCACCTGCTTTTTGTGGAGACCCATAGTAAGTTTTGGCGCTGGCTTTCTCGGGATTGGCTGACATACAGCTTGGGTGGATGTCTGCATGCTGCCTTGTCTAGTGAGTTTACCTGCGCGGTCATTACTCTGCCCAGTTCAGGATGGAGTGGTGCAAGGAGCATCTATTGCAGTGAGCCGGTCCGGTCCCAAGTCCGGACAGCAGTGGGCACTATCAGGGCTTACTGAGCTCTGTATCCGGCTGCTAGAAGTAAAGGTTGAGGTCAAAGGCAAGGCCTCGGGAGCTGGACTATGGCGCACCAGCGAAAACAACCCCAGCGACACATACGCCAACTGGGTCCCTTACCGGTACGACGTGGTCTCACTTTACAGGCTGTCTGCTCGGCCCTTCGGGGTAGTTCAGCCTACAACATACTCATTGCAAGCCCGGCTTAGCACAGTCTGCGGCCTTCACTTAGATGCGAGGTGTTGTGGTCGGCCCCGCTAAGTGAGCCGCTACTTGTATAGTGTATGTTTTCTGACCGGCTTTGTTAGGCCTCTAGGGGTAAGCTCAGCCGACACCTTACGCTTGGTTACAGTTTACAGCTTGCAGCTGCTCAACACTGCCTGCTGCTTTCACTTTTCTAGCACAGACCAGATTGCGGCTTGCAGGAGCGTGTTGTTGCTTTTATAATGTATCGTGCCACCTCTGTGGCTATTGCTAGGCCCTGCGGGGTAAGCCCAGCCGCCCATAAGGGATCTCTCTCTCTCTTGCTCCTTTGATGAGCCGTCTGGCATGAGTCCAGATGTAAATTGTGTGCGCTTAGCATCCCACGAAGTTTGCTGCGTTGTCAAAATCCAAAATCCAAGTATGGGTTACTGACAGGGATACTAGGAATTCAGACTATAGCTCATATGGTGCAGAGGATGACAAACAGTTGGCACCTGTGGCACGCAAGGTGTCTTTGTTGGCAATGCTGGCCGCAGCAGTGGTCTACTCAGGGTTGCACATCGTGGCACAAGCCTTACGAGATGTGGCAGGCCCTCTGAGCCAGCCACACGTGATAAGCCAGGCCAGGACCAAGGGTAGACTGGGTGTAGGCTTTGTGGGTTTGAGAGGTTATATTGTGTAATTTCCAGTTGGATAGTTTCCCTACATAGCCCTTATGCATGCTTGGGCTCGCCAAAAAAACGTTTATGAACTTTAAGTAGGGGCACCCACCTGGTAACTCTTCACTTGAAAATTCCCGGAAAAGGTAGAGATTAGCCTCTGGACAAACGTAAGATATGGTTCAACGATGAAAAAATGTCGTAAGCAACCTACTTTGTGACTGCACTTCATCCTGCAAACAGGAGACAATGATAATCCTCGCTCGTGTCGCGAAAAATGGATTTATCAGATCTGATGGTGCCGCAGCTGACTTCGGATCTTGTTTTGACAGCACATTGGAATCCGTAGAAGGAAGCTCGGAGGACCCTCGTGTTCTGCACAAGGGGCATTTATGCCCTGAGCCCTGACTCCTGACCGCCCCAACCACCTGTAGATTCTGGCCTTGAGGGTGTTGAGAGCTGTGGCGCGCAGTTCAGGTCTATTACAGAAGCTGAAGACCGCGGCCGTAGAAAGCTTGCTGCCCTTTTTTCAGCCCGACGCCTACATCGCGTTTCATTGGTCACTCTCCGCACCGAGTCCTACCGTGGTTTCGCGTCGAAGCCAGGTGCAGGCGCCTTCATCTTAACGTGCGGTTGTGTCAAAAATGGGATTCACAAAGGGAATTCCGGCATGTATGCTTCGTTGATATCACTATATGTCACTGTTTCCCATAAAAGTTTTGCAGGTAAAGTAAGCAATTCTTTGTCATGTACTTGCCAGTGGCAGTAGCGCACTGGCAGCTGAGATCCCCACGACAGGAGCGCTGCATGTTGCAGATCAAAGATTGTCTCTTTTGAGGCTGAGATTGAATTTTTATCCTGTCAGTGAGGCTTGTCGGCTTCTCCTAGAAAAAAAATCACAGCTGAGTATGAGTCTAACATATGCTCCAGTGCAGAACATTCTGTGGGAGGTTGCAGGATAGTAGAAGCTTGTACGAAACGAATATGGCATTTGAGGTCTTGCTTGGGTGTCTCTTTTGGGTTATAGTGATATTGCTGTCGCCTATCCCCTTGAACAAGTCTTCCGAAGAATTCAGGTGTCCCGCTCCAGCTTAGACCGCAGCGTCTTGATGGCACTTGGCACACTTCTGGGCCTGCAAAGCCTACTTATGAGGCTTGTTGTTAGTGCTGCTCTAGTAGTTACGGCTACAACCGTACAGCTGCAGAGACACGCATGCTGCTTTGCAGAATTGTTTTGTCTAAGACAAACTGCGCGCCGTTTGAGCCTAACCTTGGGGTATGGAAGGTATGAGCTAGAGTCTCAACTTCCTAAAGGGGGCTATATAGGGGACTCTATGCGGTTCCTACTCTAGGGGCTACTACGGGGGATGCTATGAGTTTAGACTAGTTCATATGATTGGACAAAACATACTCCCCCTAATCCCACCTGTGGGCATGCCTGGTCAAGACTCTAGGGTTTAGGGTTTGGGGTTGGACAACGTGAATTTGAGGTGAATCCAACTGCGACCCGTCACTGCAAACCAAGCCCTGAATCTAAGGCACGTAACTGTTAACTTGTATACTCCGAACACTATGCCCTAAATTTGAAAGAATCCTTCAACCGTCACCTAAAAGCCAAGCTGGCCTCCGCCACTTGTGGTTTCGGTGGAAAAAGGTTTTCTGCTGAAGCGGGTGGTGAAGTTCTCGGCACTTGTTTTGAGGCCGGTGTGGGTTCAAACTGCAGAACCAAAGCCGTACATCCTCAGGACCAAAGCCGTACATCCTCAAGGTTAAGCCAAGGCTTGAATCTTAAGCTGTCGCTCAGCCCAAAAAGCTTGGATGCCGGATAGATGGCAGGTCTTTAGAATACCCACGCCACATCTCAAATCTTATCAAGTGTCGTTCCAAGCTCCAAGACAGTCCTCGGCAAGCTTAAATCTTATCCTGGGAAGGCAAATGGTTAGTCAGGGAAGCTTCAATCTGAGTTTGGATGCTCTTTGCCTCGCTGCCTGATTCATCTTGGAATCTTGCAGGTCCTCTGTGACCTATCAGCGAGAGGCTGTGAGGAAGGCCCACGATGACTTCATCGAGCTTTGGCTATCCCATTTCGAGGGGGCCAACATACCACATGTGAATATCTTGTGCGCGCTGGCCGTGGCTTGGATGCTCAGCAGTTGCCCAGATGGGAGTGTTTGCACGCTAGTGTATTCAGGTTGTAAGTGTTACCAGAAATTAGGGGTCGGTTTTCGTTTCAGTCATATTCGAGGCATCCTACTGCACTGAGTATATTATTCTCAAACCTTCATCCCCAAATCCTGGACCAACCTCGGGTGAATAGAATTCTGTCGGGTAGCTCTTCAACTCAGGTGGCCTGCCGTGCGCTGCCCAACAATGTGGGAGTTCTGCCAAATGAGCTGTAGCCTAAACTCCCTAAACGGCGTCGTATAGGAGATGATATAGGGGAGTGTTATGGGGGATACTAGGAGTGTAAACTATAGCTCCAATTTCCTTAGATAACCGCAGCAGGCACAGTACACTTTGTACTGGTACTTGCTCCTGTTTCACGGTTTGTATAGGGGACCCGAATTTCTATCCCAAAATATTGTAATTCTTATTATGGTGGCACCAGAAAAGGTACCTCAATTTTGGAAAACCCTAATCCCTGTAAACCCCAAATTATCCTTATATGGCCAAGTGTCTGGCGTTCCTGCCGCCCCCCCTCCCCGAGGAGGGATGGTCAAGCGCTCGCATCGTAACTGTCGTCGTTTGTTAGCCCCTCGTAATCTCAAAGGTGCCTTCAGGTTTGGGGCTGCTACTATAGTATATAGGTTTTATACAGCAATTATGGAAAAGAAATAGGAAACGACTATAATATACCGACGGTCACTGGAAGGTGCCATCTTCGTATCTTCATGGCTGTCGTCACTTTTGCAGTCTGACTCTGTGTACAGGATTCCAAACATGCCGACAGTTCCAGGGATAGGCCAGTTTAGAGCACGATATCCTTGGGCCCGTGGTAGATTTGGGTATGTGAGCGTTTCTAATATCCTACCATGAATGGCTTATGGGTCCATAAACTTTCGCAGGCGTACATAACTCCTCAACTGGTGAGGCTCCCACCCACCAACACCCACAGAAGGAAGGGGAAGACCTCAAATCAGGTCTCTTCACCCTAAACCATGGGGAGGGGGCCTCCTCCCTTTTTGCCGTGGGTGTGGGATCTTGCACACAGAGTCAGACTACAGACAAAGATACGAAGATTGCGTCTTACAGACACCCAATCCCTGTAACCGTTGGCAGTTTTGAGATTGCGAAGGGCTAAAAAAGATGGCACTTACGCCCTTCCTCCTCCCAAACCATACCAGCGGGCCAGGAACGCCAGATGCCTGACCACATACCCCTATAAGTCGCTGTGTATCCATTTATTTTGGGAAACCCCTAAATCGCCCTTTGAACTATTCGTGTTATTCCTTTCGTTTGATCCCAAGGACACCCCTTGTTGGAGAAGCCCACCAGGTTTGGTCATTCCCCCTTACAGTAACTATCCTTAAAGGGCTCTTCTTAAGGGCCATAGTAACTCCTATTGCCCATGGTGGTAATTGTTACTGTAAGGGGGAAGGACCCAACCCCCAGGTTTCAAATTTGCAGTTGCACAGAGTCTGGACCAAAGAGATCCAGAGCCTGGCAAGTGAGGCCGGGACCTCTTTGGTTGTAGGGTTTAGGGTATCGCAGTCAAGGTCTGGGGCCGAGGCTTTGGGGTTGACCATGGTCTTGTGACAGGAAGTGGCTTCCGTGGTTTGGGTTTTAGGGTTTAGGGTTTAGGGTTTGGGGTTAGGTCCACACTTCAGTCCTTCAGGTTGTATAAGGCGTCGACCAGCTCTTCTGTTCGGATGGATGCTTTACATGTTTTGTCCAGTGCTCATATGATGTCAGCTTATTTGCATGATTGTCGCTCCTTATGTCATTCTGTGTTTGCATATCCCTTCCCTGGTGGGCCTTAAGCTCCAGACCCCAAATCCGTACTGTGATGATTGCACCAACGCGCCGACCAGATATTTTCCGCCTGAGCCGGGGGGCGGCCTAGCCGCACCCTGTGTTGCCGGGGCCTCTCTTTTGGGTGGGGTTTTATTCCCTGTGCCCTAAGGGACACGGTTTTCCCATCCCTGTAATTTCGGAACCCCGAAATGACAGTTTAGGAGATGGTGTGTTGTTTCGCTTGTATAGCCCGACTGTGGGCAGCGCACGGCAAGCCTCAAGAATCCATAGTGTTTTGGCAGCCGACCCGTAAGGTGTTTTTCTCACACCTCTGCAGTCGTCAGTGTTGTCGCAAGTGACGTGCTTGGGATGGTGTATCAGAGTGCTGTGACTTTTGGACACTCACGGAGCAATGGCTGTTTGCAGGATCGAGTTCGTTGGCAACTTCTTGCAGATGACTTTGCGAAGGCAGTTCAACTTTTAGCGCTGCTTCAAAAGGCAGATGCAGAGGACTTGATGCGGTCAGCACAGAACGTGCTGAAAGCCTCCGAACAGAGCACACTCCCTTTACTTGAAGTTGCTTGGCTTCAGAGAGTACAGCCATGCGCTTCTAGGGGTCAGAGCTTGCGGAGCTGTAGCAATACACTGGACAGCCTTGCTCAGGGCAGCCTGTCAAGCCCTTGTATGAGCTCTAGGCTGCAGTAGGGTTCTGGTTTTAGAGAGTTTCACTAGTGAGCCCAACCTACTCTAGACAGAGTTTCCTTTCCGGTTGCTTTCTCTTTCGGGCACCCGTTTTGCGGAAGTTTTCGCTGGCATTCCCACAATGGCTAGCGTGGCCCTATGTTCCCAGCCGCAGAGTGTCCCAGCATGTCCCTCCAGTCCGACCTCAGATTGTCCTGAAATCCAACCCCCCCTCAGAGCACCTCCGTGATGCCCAACCTTGGAGGTCACTGAAATGCCCAACCTTGAACGCATTGTCCCTTGATGTCCCTTGCCAAGTTCAGCAACGGCGGCTCAGTATGTAGGCTTGTCCACTCAGCGCATGATTTTACGCCTAGTTCGTCATGTCTGTATTTTCATCATGAACCACATTCCAAAGATCGGGGTGGTCTTGGATTCAACGTTGCTGGTCACAACATGCCACATCGGTCAGATTGTTGCTGTAATTGTCTTGTAAAGTAAGGCTTTTCCCACAGCTCAAGTTTCAAAGGCAGTCTATTGGAAAGGTTGCTGAGCTGTCCGCGAAAGAAGTTTCAAATTCGTAGGCCTGAGCAGAGCTCTTGAATATCGGGACGGTGCAAGAAACTCTGAATACGGGGCAGTGCGCCCCAGAAACTGGTCCTCCACTTCCAAGTCCAAGCGCAGAAATGCCCAAACGTTGGGGATGCTCGAACTCCATCCTTAGCCCCAATCATCCTCCCACCAGAGCCAGCAGCACACCCAACATCTTTCAGTCGCAGCGCTAAGATCCTGAAACTGAGTTATTGGTAAGACACTCATTTTGGCATATTTGTCAGATCCCTACTGTGAGTTATTAAGGAGGACTCGTGCTACATAATGTTATATACGAAGCCAAACGCCTGACCCGTGCTTTTTTTGTTGTGTACTTTTTGGTCCTGTCTTTCCGTCAACGTTGGATGGCGCAAGATGAAAGCTGACTTGGAGCTCCAAACCAGACCCTGAAACACCACCTCCCTGTCAATCTGTGTCCCTTTGTCCATCCAAGATGCGCTCACGCGAGTCTTTGCGCTTGCCAAAGGACTGATTGTGCATGTGCGCCACAGAGTGAGGAAGAGTTCCTGTTGCAAGAACAGCAGGTTTCTTGAACTGCGTCCTTGCGCGTGCCCTCTTTACTTGCGCAATCCCCAAACTCTCGAACACAAAATGAGTACTAAATCCTGAAAGCCCGAAGTGCTAAGCACGGAAAACACTGACACTAAATCCCTGACCCGGGCCTGAAGCTGAACGCCCGTGAAGGAAGATCTGGCTGAGATCCTTGATGAACAGTTCCTGGTAGAGGTGACGCAGGCTGAAGCTGCCTGCAGCTCTTTGGAGCCGCGCGAACAGGAGCAACTCACGGAATCGACGGAGCCCCCGGAAGCCACCGAAAGCAAGGGGCAAAAGAAGCTGCAGAAGGGGAAAAAATACCGCCTCGTCACGAAGGCCAAGAAGATCCGTGCGCTTTCCAGCGAAGATCCAACAGACACATGATGCCTGAGCAGATCACAGGAGCGCGGTGAAGAAGGTGCGGTCCGAAGAAGGGTATTTCCCATGTGTGATTTCGTATGGTTGAGCAATTGGAGGTCTACGGCCTCAATCAGACAGGCACAGACACTCATCTAAGCAGAACCGAAGCACACGTAAGTGAAGCCTTCTTGCTTTTTCATAGAGGAACATTGCAGATCCATGTACGTTTTGCGCCCCAGCAGGCAGTTGTTGCCCCCAGTCAGTTGTTTGCCACACTACTTGCAGTTTTTCGTGAGTTTGTTTTAGAAGTTCTTGTCCAAGCCATTTCTGAGTCGTGCTTGGCCTGCAATATGTGTTTACTTGGTTCATGAAGGTCTGCGGGGTTGCAAGATGTCAATGTTAGTGACATTACCTGCTTGACTGTGAGCTGGGATGCGGGGTGGGAAACGAAGGTGTTATGTGCGAGGCTTGGGTTCAGGCTCGCACGGCTCCAGCGACTGTCTTCCCTGACTTTGACAGGCGATGGAATGAAGAATCAATGATGTCTAGCAGCTGAGATTCAGTGTTTCACAAAACTTGCAGAAATAGCTGTGAGTCAATGTTATTTGTCTGGAAGAAGAAGCTGAAGGGCCCTGGACATGGTCTTGCGTGCTTTTCTCAGGCTCTGCCGGATCCTTGGCCGCTTCACTCATCTGCATTCCAGGTAGGTCAACGAGTTATACACAATCTCATGCAAGTTTCTGGCACGCATCAGTTGATCTGTTGCAGACTGCGGTGCGTTTCGTGCATCGAACGTTCTTGGGAACATCTACATGTACAGCTTTAGGTGTTGCAGCGAGCATGCAAAACCTGGTCCGGGCCCCTTCAGGCTAGATGACAAATTAAATGCAATCTCGTAACATGTGCAGGGTGGCAACTTTCCCCCCTGCACCAGTTCCAGATCTGTTGCAGACTGCGGTGCGTTTCGTGCATCGAATGTTCTTGGAACGTCGAACCAGGAAAGGCTTCAATCAGCAAGGCACAGACATAGGTGTAAGCAGAACCAAAGCACACTCAGTGAAGCTTTGTTGGTTTCCTCATGTAGAAGCAATGCAGATTCATACCTGTTTTTGCGGCAGAAAGCTGCTAATGCTCCCAGTTGCTTGCCACGTAGACAACTGGCAGTTCTGCCTGAGTTTGTTTTGGAAGTTCTTGCCCAGGCCGTTTCTGAGTCGTGCTTGACATGCAATATGTGTTGTACTTTCAAGTTTCTAAATCGCAGGGTCAACTTTCAAGAGGTTATGATGACCACTCCAGCCATGGTCATTCCTGCGCTGAGCTCAGCCACCGCGCGAGGGAAGCCTGCAATTGCCTTGAGCGCTTGTCTCCTGATACTACTTCTGATGCTACGCTGAACAGTGGAAATGACAGCATTTCCTTCCAGTTTGGGAGGTTCTTCATTGGTCAAAGCTACAAAGCTGTAGGTATGATGAACCTACAGGGTTTGTAGCCCCAAAGCCCTAATGTATAAACCCTAAACCCTAAACCCCAATAAACTCTAAACTGTCAGCTATGCTCAGACGTGAAAAATTCATCCCAAGCTTCAGCTCCATCTGTTTGTAGCTGGAGGTATATGTTAGTTTCCCAAAATTAGGGTACTTCAATACAGATCCCAATAGACTATATGTAGGGATCCCTAAAAAGGGAAACCCTGTATGGAGGTTTCCCGAACTTGGAGTTCCCGACGCTGGAAACTACCTTTTACAGAACTCCGGGACCAACGTTGCACCAACACATTCAGAGTTTTTCTCAAGGTGTTACAAGGACCAAGTTAAAGGAGATATGGAGTTCTCAAAGGCATATCATGTTTACAATCTCGAGCTTTCGATAACTGAAACTTTTGTTGAGGGTGCCCCAATCGAAAGGATTTCAGCATTACGGTCTTTCTCGTGGAATAGCACGTAATTCCCAGCTTTGGGATATCGGTGAAGTGGCTTTCTTGCCTTTTTAAAATTGCATGTTTGTTCTTTTTACTTGCCATTTGCAGTTGCGCAATGCCCGTGACTGAAGTAACTTGGAAGGTAACGGTATAGATACATCATCACCAGTACAGACTTTCTACTCAGTCCGTACACAAGCATTTTTGTGATCCTGCAATGTGCCGATTCAAAACAGTTTCAGGAGAGCCTACATAATTCTTGAACCTCAGCAGCAAGTAACCTTTGCACCATAGATTTTTTTCATCAGCGTATTCAAGCCACATATTCCGCAGATCCTCTCTGTGGTAGCTTCCTTGAATAGGGGGACCACAATGTAGGCTCCAAAATTCTATAATCCTCATTATATTGATGCCCAATTCTGGGAAACCTCCATGTAGATAGCAGGAGACAAAACGCTCAAGCGGATTCCCCAAAGCTACTTCCCAGATGCTGGGGTACAAGTTACAGTACAAGCGTTGTTACATGTGCCAAGCACCGTGCGACTGGAAGTTAAGCACTTAGGGTCTTGTACAGTGTGATGAGCACTTTTGCCTAGCTGGTCCAACCTGAAATGGTAATTTTCCTAACTAAGGGGACCCCAATATAGACCCCAATATACTCTAGTCATAAAGGGACCCCCAAAAGGTACCCCTAATTTTGGGAAATCCCCAAATGGTTCCATGAGGTGTGTTTATTGACAAACTGAATCGTAGCAAAGGCCTCGGGTGAACATGGCGCAGAGGTGGCCGCACCATGAAGAGGCGGTTCAAGGGTTTAGGGGTTTGGGGTTGAGGGTGGACGCCCACCCTGTAATGGTGCCTATAATGGATTAGTGGGGATTACATAAGAGATCCTCTTCTACTCCTGTAAGGACATGGTGCCCAAGCAGCTTCATGTGGAGCAGTTACGGCCTGAGAGAGATGTATCAGTATGTAAGGCATATTTATCATCGGAAAAAAAGTGGGGTGAACAATATTGAGGGAAGGGACTGCCAGCAAACGCGCTCATGGAGCAGCTTCCCGAAGTGTTCGTAAGATACGTTCTGTCCTGCAGATTTCTCGGAAGCTTGTACTGGCGCCAAGAATCAACAACGCAAGAAGGCACTTTCCTCATGCTTCAAGTGCTGAATCTACGCTGTATATGAGATTTGTTAATTGATGCTCGTAGGTTAGGTTTAGGGCAAGTTTCCGGCAAAACAAGCCATACTTCCCTATATTCACCCCCTCTTCCCTGAACATACCCTGTGTATATACAAATAACCATCAAGCATGTATGGCATAATTTCTTTTAGCCAGGTCACAAAGAGTCAAGGCTGCAACCCCAGAATGCTGCGAACTTCTGTTTCGAAACGCCATCAGCACCAGCGATCGTCACATGTCGGGACTGCAGAGGGCTTATGCCTTCTTCGGGAATTGGAGCAGTTCTAGACATAATTTCAGGGATTGTAAAATCAAAGGCTCCCTGCAGTATGATGTAGGGCAGGATTCGAGAAGAGCTTCTCTGAATCCAAGCCCTTAACATCCCAAATCCTGAGACCCAAGTAGGCCCAACACCCCAAATCCTCGTCCTAAAGCAGGCCTTACTTTCTTGGGGAACTTTGAGATCCCACCGTGGCCCCTTTTGATGTCATTGGCAGGTCCACGTAAGCAGCAATGCAGATGCATCAGACCTATGGGCGATCCAATTTCATTCTAACATGATCCCTTTAAGGAATTTAGACTATAGCTCATATGGGGTCTACATGGCCCTCCTTTAAGGGCACCACCTCATAACTACAGAATCAGTCGTTGGAAGGTGTGCCTTTCCATCTTTTTTTTACTCGCCGCTGGTTACATGTATACCGTTGCTACTGCTGGACATTGCCATCGGGCAAGAGATCCTCAGTTGTCCGTCAGGCCAAGAAGTCCGCTCCACCCACTTCCAGATCGACCCGCTCCCAGGCCGAGCGTCGACTTATCGTAGGTACTACGAGGCTGCAAGGTGCATTGCTCTCAGCTTTGCTACGACAATTTAAACCCTAAACCTTAGACCCCTAAACCCTAAACCCCAAACCTTAATTAAACCCTCAGCCGCAGTATCAGTGCGACGGTGGGGTTAAGGCAACCAAGAGCAGAGAGCAGATCCGGAATTGCGGCTGGTCCAGGTCCACCAAGGTGTTTGCACACACGCAAATCTCAACATTTTTATTTTTCGTGGGGCCTTGAAAGTGGGACGACAATAAACTAAGGAATATCTATATAGGGGTAGTGTTGAGAAGTACTGCCATGAGTAGTATTGTTTCAAAGCTTCAAAAAATTGCGTCATTCTCAATATTGTCTCTGTATAATATCTTCAGGGGGGTCTATAGTCCGTCATAGTCCCTCTATACTCTATACCTCTTGGGGTTTCTAGGGGCCCCCTTCTTGAGAAACTTCCATATGATGAGTCGCTACTCATGCAGGGACTTCAGCGCAGCGATGGAGAGTTGTGCTCAGAGACTTGGCAGTGCTTCTTGTCCAAACTCGTAGGCCCCGTGGACACCCCAAAATATCGGGGCCCAGATTTTCAGGACCCCATGTATTTTCCCCTTCCCTCTGCCTCATGTTTCGCCCAAAACGTTGGGAGGAACATTTTCTCAAGACCCCAAGAAAGGAGACCCATGGCCTTCTGAACCGAAGCTACGCCAGGTTAGGGCTGACCGCATCAGCAGCACCTCCCGGTCTTGCAGGCACAGGATGCCTCGATTTGGCTTGCGCGCTGATTGGCCAGAGTTATGGAGGATTTAAGACAATTCTAGATTTTTGAATGGTAGATGTTGAGCTATGTGCCTTTACTTCTTGTGCTTGCCGCACTGCGAACGCGTGCCTGGAGTGGTGAAAGCCTCATTCGCTGTATCCTTTGGGCTCAAAGTTGCTCCTCGCCAAATTTGCGGGGCCGTTGTTTGCCTTGACTCCTTTGCGAGAGTTCTTGAAGGACATGTGCAGATTTTCTGCAGCTTTGTGGAGAGACGAATCAAGCTTTTCTGCATGATGGCGCGTTGCACACACTTGACGGTGCTGCTGTGGCTGCTTTCACTCATCGCTGGCG